CCGTAGCAACGTCATCTGGGGCATAACATGCTAATTTACTAAAGTCTTCCACATATTGGCCAACTGTCCGTCCTCCTTGGCGCAAGTTGTGAAACTCTCGCTTCTTCATGGCCATAGCTCCTGCTGAAACATGGGCAGTATTAAAAGCCTGCTGAAACTGGTCCCATGTGATAGTATCGACAAGGAAAGTGGCTGTGAAATTCCCCGACCATGATGCTGCGGGTCCTTCAAGCTGATGTGCTGCAAACTTCACCTTCTCCGCATCCGTGCATCCTGTTGTGGTCAACTCTCTAGCTGTCTTGCGGAGCCAATCACCAGCTACTATCGGCTCGGTGCTATTGGAAAACACCGGCGGATTTAGCCTAAGAAAATGGGCTAAGTGATCAACAGGTGGTGGTGGTGGTGGGTTGTTGTTGTTCCCCTGGTTCTGATTCTGGACTAGCAACTGCATCAATGTGTTCTGCTGCTGGATCAACTGAGTGAGCTCCGGTGGAAAGGTAAATCTGGGGTCACGTCTCGGAGGCATCAGAGGGTTTAGAAAAGATGAGATTTAAGAATAGAGGGGGCCTAAAGAGAAAACACTACCCATATGCACATGAGGCAAAAGCAAACAATTCACTTCATTCAATCAATCAAACAAGGACATACAATCAATCTAACTATCGCAAAAGTGCTCGGACTACTATATTTACATGGTGGACTACTACTACTGTTGGGGTGGTCTACTAGAAATATTCTTCGGTTGCAGACTCCATGATATCTGCTCCAGCTTCATCAACATAGTCATCATCGCTATCATCTAGATCCGAGTCGGTGTCGTCAATGATGATGTAGTCTTCCGGGCGAATCTCCTTAGGTTCTTCGTCTTCTTCTACCGGTGTAGGGACTCCCATGAATATTCCAATCTTCTTGATCAGATCGTCATTCTTTTCCACTAATACTTCAATTTCTTCTTCAAAATCTTCACGTGTAGTCTTGAGTTCTTCCTCCAGTTCCTTGATTCTTGTCTTTGCCTTCTTCAGGTCTATCATGTCGGTGCACATCTGGTTCTCCCGACGTCAAATATGCTGGTTTAACTCCTGGATAAAAGCTGCAATTGATCTATCCTTTCTGGTGCTGATCATCTCCCAGTGCTCATCTCGGCGCCCACAAATCTGGTAGATAGTATCCTTGAGATCATTGCGGTAGACTTCTCCAATGCGCCCCATGGCGATGTGAGCTGCCATGCTCTTTCCTAGATTCCAAGTTGGTGCATCGAAAGAGAACTCTATGGGCTCAGTGACTGGCATGAACGTCCTTCCTGGAACTTGAACTTGAATCATCCAGTGCTCTTCTTCAGGTAGAGTGGTGTTGTAGGTTCTGGTGAAGCTTGGTACTCCTATGTTTAGGTATCTAGTGACTTTCTTCAAGTGACGTCCAAAGGGTGTATCTTCATCCGGTTGAGTGAACTTGTTCCTTGCATCCGCCATCCTAAAAGAGTAGAAAAGATGAGAAGTCAGAAGAGAAGAGAGTGAGTAGTGATCTAGGTCTTTAGCTTAGTGGTCGTGTCCTACAGTCAGCATGTGCTCTGATACCATCTTGTAGCGACCAGACCTCAAACGGTCCAATCTCTGTGCTCCGGTGTCATCCCTGGATCAGTAATGCTGACACCACACAATACTTGAAGGATTTATAGCAAAGTAGCAATCACACACTTATTACATCGAGTGTCTCAAAAGAGAACTTATTGCAATAAATATGGCTTAAGGCCATCTAATAACGGTAACAGCGGAAGGCTTGGAAGATAAGTGAGTCCATCAACTCCAACGACATCACTGAGTATAGAACCATGACCTAAAACTCCTTAATCGTCATCTGAAAAGTCTGCAATATTAACGTTGCAGCCCGAAAACGGGTCAGCACATGGAATATGCTGGCAATGTAACACATAGAGAGTAATGGAAAGAAAAAGTTATTCTACATGCATATTTGGCTGGTGGAAAGCTCTATGGTTACAGTTTTGCGTAAAGCCAAATTTTCCCTACTGCAAAGGAATAAATTTATTTAACTATCATGGTGGTCGTTAAACATTGAGAATGGTTGACAGCATTCTCAATCCCAATTAAACATCATCATTAAATAAAACCCAGCAAAATTAATTTTTAGAGTAACATGTTGAGATTCACATGATAATCCAGGTACTAGATACTCAAGATGTCCATAACCGGGGACACGGCTAACCATGATTAGTTTATACACTCTGCAGAGGTTTGCGCACTTTTCCCCACAAGACTCAATCGCCTCCGTTTAGTTTCTCGCACTACATGTTGTTTGGGAAACAGATGACCGAGACATAGTCTTTCAGAAGCGCTAACACCTTACGATGGGTAGACCGTACCACCTATATCCCCTACATCTGTTAGTCTACCACTGTAAGAGTTCGCACGACTTAGTCAACTATGCTAGAGCCCATAATAGCTTGTGGCTGCACATGAAAGTTTCTAGTATGAATAATCTCATGATCCCTTTGAGCCTGGGTGGCGGTCCAAAAGAAAACAGGCAATCACTGGAATACCCAGGTGCCTCAATCCACCCAGATGTGTGTTTAGGTTGCCACCTTAAATAAACCATTAATTAACAAAGCTCACATCTGTCATGGGTACACTCACCCAATCCACGTCTACTAGCATAGCATAGCAATAATAAGCAAACGTAGAGTAACTCCCAAAGGTTTAATAATAAACAGGTAATAGGTTCTACCTCAACTACTCCCCAAACCCACAATTTAATTAGATCCTAATCATGCAATGTGTGAGGATTGATCTAATGCAATAAAACTGGGTAGTAGGAGGTATGATCAAAGTGTTACTTGTCTTGCTGATGATCCGAGAAACCTAGCGATTCGAAGTAACAAGCGGCGCACTCCGGATACTCTATCGCAAACAAACAAACACATAATAAGTACTCAACTAATGCACAGGTAAAACTCAAAATAAGAGATCTAACCAGAAAGATCAACTTAAGAACTCCGGTTGGCAAAAAGAATCAAATCGAACGAAGCAACGAAAGACAAACAGCAAAAGAAACATGCTTCGTTTACTATTCTGGATCTAAGACAATTTTTACAGAAGCAAAACTTGTTTAATTTGGTTAAACGGAAAGAGGGTTTCGAGACGAAACTTCAGGCGCTTGAATCGCCTGATTCCGATAAACGAGCGAAAAGTTATACTAAAACGAAAATCGGATCAGAAATTGCGATCAGAAATAATCATGGAAAATCCGGGAAAAAGAAAAACGATGAACAAATTAACGAACGAACGTTCGTTACTGGATCTAACCGACGAACACATTCGTTAAGACGAATGAACGAGCGAATGCTCGCTAAATAACTAAACCGTAAAGAAACCGTTTTTAATAAAAAAGCGGATCTAAAAAAACCGGGCGGTTTTCTAAGGAAAACCGCCGGCGACGGCGGCTACCTCGGGCAGCGGGGTGGCGGGGCAGCGGTGAGGCGG